ATTCGTCTCTCTTTGAAACCCGAAAGTATTCATACGAAGAGTATCATCCACAAAGAGAAGGACAAAGTAAGAGAACCGTCCGGACAATTGAAGATGCATCATGGGACACACATCTATCCTTAATTGAACTTTCTCGCAACAAACGACGACCTTTCCAGCATCAAGGTTGCGCTATTCGAAGCCCTCTATGACCGTAAGTATAGATCCCCTCTGTGCTGGGCTGAGGTGGGCGACACGCAACTAGTCAAGAGTCAAGTCCACAACAGTACTCTCACGAGTCCTGAAATCACCCTGGAAAGGCATGATACGCTTCGGAAAGCGTGGAAAGCTAAATCCAAGGTATATAGGACAATTGAGATCCTCGCTAGGATCGGTCCCGTAGCCTACAAACTTCGTCTACCGCAAGAACTTAGCAACATTCATCCTGTCTTCCATGTCTCGAATCTTAAAAAGTGTTTATCTGATGAAACCCTTACGATTCCCCTCGACGAGATTGAGATCAACAAGAGCCTGAACTTTATGGAAGAACCAGTCGAAATCATGGATAGAGAGATCAAACGAACAAGGCAAAGTCGCATCCCGATAGTGAAGGTTCGCTGGAATGCCAAGCGGGGACCCGAATTCACTTGGGAGCACGAAGATCAGATGAAACAGAAATATCCGCATCTCTTTTGTAATCCATGATTTGTATTCTATGTTTGAATTTCGGGACGAAATTCCCTCTAACGGGGGAATGATGTGACAACCCGAAACTTTTATTCTGTACGCTTGGTCAACTTTATCAACATTGAACTTGATTTCCGTTACCTTTTAACGCCGTTTAAGAGTTAGTTTAAGTGTTCTAAGCTTGAGTAGAGTCGGGAATGAGATTAGAAATGAGTCAACAAGTCGTATAGAGACAAAACCAGGCCATACACCCTCTTGAGAGGTGTGTACGGCCGCACACATGGGTGTGCGGCCGCACACCCATCTCCCAGCCGCACACTCATCCCTATATATATAGGGTGACCCCTTCACTCATTCCTTTCTTTTGGCTGCACTCTACTTCCTCTCTCTACTTTCTCTTTCTAAAAACTTCATCCAAGAACACTCTAAGGGCCTCAAAAACGTGAATTACTCCATCATTCAGCTTGTTATACCGGTAAGACACCATGATCTAAGCTTAAAACTCTTCGTGTTCTTCGTGTTCTTCATCACTTGAAGGTGTACGGCCGCACACCTTCATAAGGTGGTCGTACACACCTTAAAGACTCTCCAAAGTGAGAGTTTGGCCTCCATTTTGCTAGTTGGACTTGGTATTGGCTTTGAAACACCTGAAAATCGACATTTTGAGCACGAATGAAGAGTGTACGGCCGCACACCCCTATGTACGGCCGCACACTCCCATGTACGATTGCACACGCCCTCTGTACGGCCGCACACTCCTGTGTGCAACCGCACACACATGCTGACCGCACACCCTGGCCGCACACACACTCTTTTGGCCGTATACCTCCCTTGTTTGATCATATAGGGTCCCGACAAGCATTTCCAAGTCTTTAGGGTGGTTTCCCGTCATGTTTAGTCAAGAAACACCCAAATTCTAACACACATATGTGTTACCGTATGTTAATAGGATCCACTTGCGCACGAAACACCAGTTGACACTCAGCATCCACACCGATCATACGCTCGAATCCTACGTCAAACGGTGAGTTCATACACCTACATTTTCCGTGTTTTTAATGTTTTCAGGGGGGGAATACAAGCCAAACTCAAAGTATTTTATTAAGTTTTAAACTTATTAATGCAGTCCAACGATTTCCACGTTTAATAACATATTTAGATATTTTATCTCTTTTCGTAATATGTTGAGCATAAGGGAAACTATTATTTTGGAAATCTAACTTCATAGCTTTCAGAAAGGTTTTTACAAAGCATTTTCCATACAAATTCTAATAAACTATAATGGGTATAGTTTGGGAAAACCCTCTAGGCAGTCTCTACCTAATCAGATTTCATTAATGAATATATATAAACTATGGCAGATTTAGTTTATGTTATATATTTTCTCAGTAGTATAAAGTACTATTATTCAAGGATAATCATTGTTTTATACTGTTTCTCGCTAGTAAACTAGATTATACAGAATTGTGAGGCTCTACTTCAATACTGTACCCTTAGGTGTATAGTGATAAATCCTATCTCAGTATAACCAGAGTCTACTGATGGTTTACTTTCTACCGCTAGATACTCTTTTAACACTGCTTTTCATAACAAAATATAGGATTTTCTGGAGGAACACTTTTCAAAAGGATCAAAGAACATTTTTTTCCACCAAAACTAAATGCTTATGAACTCACCAGCTTTATGCTGATATTCTTCAAAACTGCTTGTATTCTCAGGGAATTAGTAGACAGGTACTTCCAGGAGTTCGGAGAAGTCGGAGCGTTAGAGTCACGACTTTCCAGTTTACTTTTGATATGAACAAAACTATGTATTAAACAATGTAAACTTTTTCATATATGTATTCAATGTTTGGTTGTGTTTACTATGCTTGCTATGATACAATTCTTGTGATACTACGCATGACGTCCTCCACCCTGGAACGATTCCGCCATCACGGTTTCGGGGTGTGACAAAATCTGTTTCGACGATATGGATTCACCAAATTTATTTATGTTCATCGGGGTTCCATATCAAGGATTTATGTTTATCGGGTTTCTATTTTATGAACGTAGTATAAATCTGTTAACCCCAGATGGGGTTGCAATGGTAGTGCACAGGTGGTGATGGCGGCATACAGGTGGCGATAATCGAACAGAGAAGAGAGAAGAGAGAAGAGAGGACGAGAGTGAGAGGGTGTTTTGTGTTTCAGTGCTATCCACTCACCAGAGTATAAATTTGCTATCTCTCACCGAAGTGTAAATATCCACCATCGACCACCATCACCTCTAGTTGTGGTGGTGGTGTTCTGGCAATGTCACTCATCTACCCTCCTTCACCTATATCATAAAAAATGGAGACACCACCTCCGACCTTTTTCACCTCCACCAGAGGTGCCGAAACTTTCACCTGCAACTCCTCCTTTACTATCTGTAGTAGTCGGATCTACAACCATATCGCCGGAAAAACGAGATTTATGGTGCTCTTCCTCATCGTTCTCCCCTTTTCTTCATTGTGAGATCTTCGGCTCCGATGACTGTAAGGGTGGGGGACATAATCTTTCAGCTTCTATTTGATCAGAGAGAGAGAGAGAGAGAAAGAGAGAGAGAGAGAGAGAGAGGGGGGGGGGGGCTCCACTGCTTTTAATAAACAAGTAAATTATAATTAATTAAATATCACCCACAAATAAAAATAAATCAAAAAGAAATAGAAAATGGCAAAATCGTCTTTTTATGTCTTGCTAACGATATTAGGGATGAAACATGCAAGTTTTAAACAAACGATGGACGGTCCAAGTTAATTTTTAAAAATAAAGACTAAACATGCAATTTGACACTAAGGGGTTGTTTGGTATTATCTGAATTTTTAAGATCTGAATTCTCAACATGTTGTTTGGTTGGATCATCTGAATTGTTGTGCTGAATAATAAAAAAAAAACCATTTTACCGTTTTGTATTATCTATTGTTAAATTCAATATATATATATATATATATATATATATATATATATATATATATATATATATATAAACACCATATAAAATCCAAACAAAAAATAAAACAAAATTAAACACATAGCCAATTCAATATTGATGAAAGTGTAATGGCACATCTTTCCATTTTGTGAATCTATAATTGAACATACAGTGCAATGATAAAGTGAATGAATAAGCTCTATGACAGTATGAAGATCATATTTGTAAAGTTGTATGAACAATCATAATTTCTTTGAACTCATGAATGCATAATGTAAAGACTATAACTCAATTAACATGGTGATCATCAAGAAATTCTTCAAATTGCAAAGAACTATTAATTATTTCCCATCATTTACCATATAGAAATCCTATGAGTTTCTTCAAACCACTAAACAATAATGAAGAAAAAGAATCCTGAGATGATTTATTATCATTGTTATTACCAATTGTTGATCGACCAACTTTTTAACAGATTTAACAAATAATGAATAAAAATTGAAGCTCCACTTTGAAACGAATTCTTAAGCCAAAACCCATTTGTCATCATCCTCCATTCGATCCCAATTTCGCCTCAATTCCTCTTTTCCCAATCCAAGGTACAAGCACAATTTTGCATACAAGAGCTTCCTGCTCTTTTTCATGGTTTACAGAGTTTGTACCATTCGGGTTTTCATCCTTTAAAACATTAAAATCGAATTACAAGAGAAAAAGAAAATATTACATGCAGAAGATGTCAGAGGCAAAGGCAGACGAAGCAGCCGGAGATGGGAGACGAAGCAGCCAAAGACGGAGGCGAAGATGACGACGACGGCGACATTACAGATGATCAGAGCTGGAGGAGAAAGGGGTGGAAGAGAACTGGCGTCGATGAGGGAGCTGGAGGGCTTCGCTGCCGGCGGCGATGGCGGAGGCGACGTCTCTGGCAGAGGCGGTGTCCGAAGGGGATGACCGGAGGAGATGGCGGAGGGTTTCAATCGGAGTTTTAGTAGGAAGGAGCAAGTAGAGCGAAATTTATGAAGAAAAAAGGGCAGAGAAAAGGAGATGAAGTATTTGGACAAAAGGGGAACATGGGTTCTTTTTGTTTTTTTTTATACATGTCTTTACATCTGAAAGTTTAAGAGGTATTTTAAAAATTAGAGACATAAATTCATATGCAACCAAACAATCTAACTCTAAAAAATTAGACGAGGGACCGAATAGTCTAATTACTCATTTATTTATATGAAATGCTGCAATTATTTGCGAAACGAGAACCAAAGATTCCGTCAAGTTTATTAACGGCGTAATAGCGAAACAAATTAACCATGTGTGTGTGGTTAGGCAGGGGCAAAGCAAGGTAAACTTTTACACCGTACGTAACTGCTGAATGCGTGTGCGATGCCATCCGGACCGTTGGATGCTAAATCAACGGCCCTAGATGGCTTCCCTCCTCTGTTCGGAGTGCGATCGATAAACCTGAACATGGAGACAGACTGCTATAAAAAAGGGTTCCAAATGAGAGAGAAAAAACATGTCGTATTCATAACAACACCCTCTTCCTCTTCTTCTTCTCTCTGGGGAGTTTTTCCTTCACTATTTCTTTCGTAAATCGGAAATTGTACACAAATTTCCATTGGGAATTCGGTGAGTGAAATGTTGAAGTTGTTACATTTCTTTTCTTTTTTGTTTAATTCGAAAGATCCGCAGCTTAACTAGATTGTATAATTTCAGATTGGAGATTGGTTTGGTGTGTTTTAGTTAATAACAAAGCTCATTTCTTGAATTTTCGTAGATGCAATTGATCCTGTTAATGAATTTTATTTTATTTTCGTATGATTTTGTTTTGAATTCTCACAAGATTATGGATGGTTGAAATTTCAGAAGGATTCGAATTAAGACTTTAGAGATCAACAAACTTGACATCGATTCTATAATTCGATATTTCTAGGGATTAATTGGAAGATTTATCTGATTTTTCCTTGATTTTTTGATTTGCAGATAGATTACATGAGCAAAGGATTTTTTTAAAGTGGATGCAGCTTTGAGCTGCGTGTTTATTTTCTTGAGCTTTTTACTCTTCTGGATTTGAAATCGAGAGGAGATTCGGAGATATTGCAAGTCTGGAGGTTTGTGTTACAGAAATTTCACATTGTTTTCTGTCGATGATTCTCTTGTTCGATGAATCAATGGTGATGTTTCTTGAAATTGATAGGTTGATTCGAGAAAAATCTGATCTCAAGATCGAATTTGAAGATGTTCTTAGCTGTGAAATGTTCATCATACCCTTAAATCTCTGAGAATTGCTTGCGGTGTCTAAAACCGTTAAATCCAATCCAAGTCTCTGAAGATGGAGAACAAAGTAAATATCAAGTTACTCGTTCTGATTTTTTTGCTATTCTCTCCGATCACAATTTCTGCTGACGAATCCTTTATTGCTGTGCACTTCTTTTTTGCAGTTTCTGGGTTCTACTTTTTGTTGATTTTTAATATTTGAGATACAAGAGAGGCACCGCAAATTCAAGCTTTAAAGGCAATTCTAATCAACACCAACATAAAGCCTTTCATCGTCGAATTTCCTTTAGGGATCTCATTTTTTGTCACAATTCAGAATTTAATGTCCTAATCCTTCAACTCTTTATTGGAATTTGATTCATCCATTTCCCAAGTATTTACGTTTCAAACCAAAGGAACTGAATTCAGAGTGTATCATTCTTTGATCTCATCTACTCTTTCTTCTTGTTCTTCTGAAAGTAAAAGGAATTCGGAGATTTTGACACTTCAAATACCAATGATTTGTTGAATCAAAAGAAGTTTTCCATTGTGAAATTCAAATTAGCAGAAACCTAGATCTTCATACAGACACCCCCGTTTTAAGAACACAATAATACTTTTATCTATCAATTGCGAATTGCGATCGACTGTTGGATCAAAATTTGGTAAATTTCTTCATCCAAATTTGAAAACTCAGTCTCATCATTTTCCTTTCAATTGTCTAACTTTTTTAACTATGGTTACGGGAAAAAGTGTGGAAGTGGTTAAAAGTAAGCTAACCATGGTTAGTTAATTGGTAACGTAACAGGTGTGTATTATTATTTATTAATAAAGGGGAAAATGGAGAAGAATAACTCAAATAGCAGAGACAGATCTCAGGCTTCTACTAATAACAACACCACAACGACGTCGTCCTCGGCTTCAGACTTCGTATTGCAGTGGGGGAATCGGAAACGATTGCGTTGTATGAAGGTTCAACAGCAACAACAAACAAAGGACAAAGAATCGGCGGCTTCCGGTACACCGCCGGTGGGTCAACGATCCATCACAACCCGAGTTGATCGGCGTGTTGTTAGGTCACCAAATCATCAAAACAAGGAAACCGTTACTACTAACGCCGTTAGTAACGGGAACGGTTACATTAATCTCCGGCAACGATCCTCTTCACCGGCGCATCGGGTTCTCAGGTAATTTTTACATTTGTATTGTGCACGTATCTAATTCAATAATCTGCATAATTCAAGGAAAGACATGTTATTTAATTTATATTTATATGAAATTTAATTCTTGATGAATGTATGATAAAACAAAATTGAATCTAACCCTTTAACGTTGAGGGTCAAAATTCTTTTTTTCTTACCTGATAAAATATTTCACAATGTTTTCAGTAATTTCAAATATTTTTTCCTCCTGGTTTATCAAAAAAATTCCCAATCAAATTATTCTTTTTTTTTTTTAAATATTTTGCGTATTGTAAGTAATTGATGGCCGAACAATATTTGATAAAAGAAAAAGAGGTATCATCATATCATCAGTATCTTTAAAAATATTGAATTTCATAATATATTTACATAAAAGTAGCACCCACCTTAATAATTAATATCAAATAATTTTGCTTACCAAAATATATTTCAATGTATAGAATATTCAATTAAGTAAACAATAAAATATCTAGTTTATGTTTTTGGGGAAAAAAAGATCTAAAAAAAAAACCATGGTATTTGCTTTTTCCGTGTCAATTTAGACGTTACTTCACCTCGATAGTGATGCCGGTTTTTAAAATATGTATCGTTAATTTAGGAGTAATGCCGGTAGTGTCTTTTCTATTTGGTTAAAGCTGAAAAATAGAGAAAGTTTTACAAATATTTATAGTTTTATCGAATAAAATAAGATTAAAAGATTTATGGATCAAATCAATATTTATACATCATACTGTTCGCAAACAAGTAAAAACATATATTATTGAAAGTCCTATGATTTTTTAACAAAGAAAAGTTTTATTAAAAGAAACCACGGTTGTTTAGAACAAAAACTATATCTTAATTATTTATTTAATGAAAAAATTATTTCTTTCTATAATTTTTTTTCTGGATTTGGTATAAAGGATGCTTTTTTTATATATTCTTTTTAATTCTTGTTATATGAGTCTTCTATTTTTTTAGGTCCATAAATTTAACACTCCGGCTGTTATGAAAAAAAAATGATATTTTGTTTGTCAATTGTGAAAGTGGATGGGGGTCTGTGTGGGAGCATGACGGAAGGACAATGTGAGTGGGTCGCCAAACTATTTCTTTCTTTTCCTTTATTATTATTATTATTATTATTATTTATGTATTAATCCTTTATCGGCAATTTTGATTTTGACCTAAAAGTTTTAATATTTTGAAGTTTATTAAAAAAATAGTTTTTTTGTTTGTAAAGATTGAATGCCTAACGCATGTGCACCGATAAGTTTGTTTTGTTTGTATAATGCTTCTATTTAATTGTTCTCAAATATATTTTAATTTATTCTATAAACATATATTTCATTCTTACACTTGATTATATTTTATTTGAAAATTCAGACATGTTCTTTCCATTCAAAAGGAATAAACTTTTTCTTATTAGTCATATTATTTTATCCACTAGAGTAGTTCAATTCATACAAATTTATTTATTTTTCCCAAAAGTCATTACATAAATTAAATGATATTGGTTTGTATATACTTTTTTCAGATTATATGTATTGTTGGTTTATTTTGGATATTTTTAACCAATAAATATCTTTTAATTATCAAATTGATTGTGGCATTTTCTTTTATCCCTGATCCTGACCCCTCTTCCAGCATCCTTCCTATTTACATTTATAGATTGTAGTACAATAATTATTTTACTTTTTCTTGCGGTTTTGGCATAACGTCTAAATATTTTAAGAAATTTGTCTACACTTTCATCAACTGTGTTTTACAACTTTGATTCATATATATTTTAAAACATATTTTGAAATTAATACACAACGTTCTTTTTTCAATTAAGGCTTTAATTGTTCTTCTATATTTTTTCTACAACCTTCTATACATTGTTTTAGGACTTTGTTTTTTCTAATTAATTTTTATAAAAAAATAGTTTTTTTATATAATTAATATTTGTATAACCTTTTTAAACTTTTGTTTGGCTTTTTTATATTATGTTTAAAAAATTTTGTAAAGGAGTGATTATTATAGGGTGTGATTTTACATTGGCTTTACCGCTTTACACATGGACGATGGTCCCTTTTTGCAAGTGTGACTGTGTGAGGGAGGAGGAAACAGCAATCAGGAGAAGTTATCCATCCAACCACGTGTGTCACAACCCATCTCCACTCCCAATCATCACCTAATTTTCCACCCTCCGATCCCACTCATCAACGGCTCTCCACTCATTCTACTGACATCACCTTTAAGATTCTGACACGTGTCCTTTTAGGAAACAAGACAATCCATATGATCCTACGGCTTCAACTTTGCCAAAAAAACCAACGCGACCTTTTTCTTTCTTCTTTTTCAATACTATATTATTATGTATCCATTATTCTTTCTTCCCTGCGCCGCAGCGCATGTTATCAAAGATCTCTCTCTCCAACCATGACAAAAAAAAAAAAAAAAACCAGAAAAGAATAAATATAATATAAAAATTAAAAAAAAACAACCCCCTCTTTTTAAGGCCTGACCCATAAATCAAACGTTCAAACACCTCCACTCATCTTTTTCCCATAACAACCCTCCGATTTCCTCGATTTTCTTCGCTGATCCACGACATCTACAGGGTATTCTTGTAATTTACACCTTTTTGTCTTTGTGTTGTTTTTTTAAATTAATTTAATAATATTACTTTTTGAAATCTATAATTTATAAAAGTTGTGAATAATCGTGATTTGTTTTTTAAAAACAAATTGTAGGAATTCTGAGAGTTCAATTGGTATGAAGGGACAGGGCAACGGCGGTAGAGGGGTTTGTTCACCGGATAGAGGAGGGGGTGTGCAGGATAAGAGAAGTACACATAACACCAACGCCAACGCCAACCACCACCATAATGGGAAGAACAATAATAACGGCGGTGGTAGTGGTGGTGGTGGGTCGGGGTCATCGGAGACGGCGCTTGATATGAAGAAAGGAGGGACGTCGCCAGGGAGTGAGGCGGTTCCGATTGTCTGGCCCCCAAAATTTGTGATCGGATTGACGAATAAGGAGAAAGAAGAAGATTTCTTGGCGATTAAAGGCTCTAAACTTCCTCAGAGACCCAAGAAACGGGCCAAGTTCATCCAACGCACCATCAACGTATGCCTCTCTCTCTCTCTCTCTCTCTCTCTCTAAACTCCCTTCTCTTTTTTTTTTTTCATTTCTTTAAATCTTTTAATAATAATAAAAAAATACTAGTATGATATTTATTACTGTGACAAGGATTTGCATATAAAAATCATAAATTGTTGACCAACTTCATTGTTTGTGATCACAATTTCTGTCATTGCATTTGCATCTCTTATTTTTATATTATATATATATATATATATATATATATATATATATATTAAAAAAAATATAAGAATTGTGTAAATTTAAGGGAAATCGACACTATTGTATATATTAAAAATTAATTATTATCACGTAAGAAAAGTAAGATGATGATGACATTGGACCAATCCAAAGTCCAAACAATTACAAGACGATGACCGTTTTTTTTTTGTGCGTGAATAGTTGGTAAGTCCCGGTGGATGGCTGTGCGATCTCACACTGGAACGTTACGAAGTGAGAGAGAAAAAGATTACAAAGAAGGTATATAGCATTTACTGCGTTCATATCAAACCATCCGACATTATTATTTAATAGGAACGATAAACCAGAAATATATATATATATATATATATATATATATATATAAAGTAGGTTCATGCGAAAACATAAATATCTTGCGAAAACGCGAAAACAGATTATATATATATATATATATATATATATATATATTATTGTGAAAAGAATAAAGAAAAAAAAGTGTTTGATGGTTTATATTCGATTTGGAGGCACAGAGACCGAGAGGACTAAAGGCGATGGGGAGTATGACTATGGAGTCGGAGTCCGAATAAATAAGGGGTGAAATGGTGTATTTACAAGTGGTTTGATCAAGTAAAATATTCCACATCCATTTGTTTGTTTTAGCCAGGTCAGGTGAGACTGAGAGAATAGGAGGAGAAACATTGAGCTTGTATTTAGTATTTTCATCAATTTTCTCCTTGAGGTAATCCTTTATTTTATTATCACCAAAGGAAACAAATGTGTTAATCGATCCCATCTTATATATATAAAAAAAACAAACAAATCATACGAACGTAGTCATTCTTGCAAACTCAAACCCATTACGTAATAACATCAACTTTTATGTCATCATCAAAGTTAAAAAGTTTGAATCACTTGTGATTCTTTTAATGGAAATTTTCAATAAACTCTATATTTTTGGTTAGTTTACAGTTTAATTTCAAATTAAATTATATTTACAAAAAATGACAGATTAACGGCTAAAACTTCGGAATAATCATTCGTGACCGGTTTGACAGATTTAGTCAATATCTCGTCATTTTTCATTAATTAGAAGGTAAGTCAATTAATGAAATTGATAGCTATTTTTATTATTACATTTATTGTAATTATTATATTAAAATATTATGTGAACTTTTATAAAATAGAAAACCCCATAAAATAACATGTGGAAAAAAAATTAATTCAAAATAACCACAAAATGACATTTAGCAAATTGAATGAGTGTGACATGTGACAAAAAAATCTTAATTTATTAGAGTGTATATATATATATATATATATAGGTTAATGCAAAAAACATAAATAATTTGCGAAAATACGAAAACATATTTTATCTTATACAAATCAAACACATGTATCTTAAAAATTAAATTTATTAGCAATAAATTAAAGATAATAAGTTTATATTGGAGGGTGTTATCGTAATATAGATTTAAAAGTGGTTTTAATAACCGTTTTTTTTTCACGTTCCTAAACACTTTTAAATTCAAGTTTTCATAATAAAATTGTCAAAAAACATGCTTTGCTAATATGAAATAATTTCTCATGTATTATCGATCATCATCATGTAGTTCAAAGTTTGGATGAATTATTGTCCAAAATATAAGGTTGAGGTAATATATATATATATATATATATATATATATATATATATATATATATATATATATATATATATATATATATAATGTGGATGATATCTATTGTGTGGTCGTAGGAATAATTCTGGACCAATGGATGAAAAAAAAATGAATGGTTATGATATTAGGGTCTACGTAATTAATATGGAATAACGTATACCATATAATTACATAAATTTCATTAAAATGGTAATTTAATCAATTAAGCTTGATTTAAAAAATGTAAATTCTGATTTTAAGGGATCATTAATTTCTTAAATAAAAAAAAACTGATTTTTAAAAATTAATTCAATTTTAAATTTAATGATTTTTAATTAGTTTGATATCATTTATTCTTTAAGAATTCAAGGTTCATGAAAATCCATTTTTCATTGTTTTTCCAAGCTTTTGAATTCAAGGTTCACAAATATTTATTTATACAAATATTCCTTAAGAATTTTCTATCATTATTGTAGAATGATTGTGTTTTTCTCAATGTTCTTGAAATGTGTGAAGATTATACACATGTTTTTTTTTTAGAATTTGTTATAATTCTTTAAGAATTGTTGTGGTTTTTTCCGATGAACTTGAAATTTTTTAAAATTATACACATATTCTTTAATAATTTATCATCATTCTTTATGGATGGTTGGGTTTTTTTCCACTTTTCTTGAAGATTATACATGTATTCTTTGAGAATTAAAGTATTCTATAAGAATTTCTGTCATTCTTAAAGAATGGTTAAGGTTTTTTCCAGCTATTTTGAACAGACTATTAAGATAATACATATTTGATATATTATTAGCGATCAATATACATTCTTATGCACTAAACAAACTATAAAGGTAGAGAAACACACTCGAATCAGGTCCACCTTCAACTAATTTTACTTCTTGATAAAACTATAGATCCTTTCAACTTCAAAGTTGTGACAACCTGTAATTTTCATTCTTGTAAAAGTCAAACTTGGTCAACTGAAGTAAAAACTTATCTAATAAAAGTCAAACTTATGCTTTGATGTAATCTCAAGGTTAGATTAATAGCCTTTTCATGATAAAGCACTTAGTTAAAAGGGTTGTAGAAATTTGAAAGTTAAAACACTCAAAAACCGAGGACCTTTGCATGAGCCGCAAACCTTCGCTGGGCAGTAAACTCTCGGACCGCAAATGGTTCGGACCGCAAACAAGCCTTCGCAGCCGTAAACGTCTCTCGTTCTCGGCCGTGAACTCCTTCGTGCCATGAACCTCCATCGGACTGCAAATTCTATATATATATATATATATATATATATATATATATATATATATATATGTGTGTGTGTGTGTGTGTGTGTGTGTGTGTGTGTGGTGTGTGTGTGTGTGTGTTTGACTGAATTTATCCTCACTTCTACAATTCTAGCCGCACACTCAAGCCTTTTTCTCTCAAAGTCTTCAACCGAAAACTCAAGCTTTCTCTCATCTATCATCCGAAGATCATCCAATCCACCTTCGGATCTTGTTATGAACATCTATTGTTCTTCATTTTCATCGATCAAACACCCCCTCATTTCTGGGTTTACAGCCGTGAACCCTTGAATCTTCTTAGTTACACCAAGAACACACACCGAGTTCCAGCCGAAAACACTTGAGTCTTCAAAGGCCGAAAACCCTTTGCGGCCGTGAACACCTAAGGTTGGCCGTAAACACCTTGCAGCCTCTTTATTTCGGTTCTAACACTTCTTTTGTAAGTAATTCTTACATCCTAGGTTGTTTCCTTAACTCTTTTGAGGTTATATTCACTAATTTCATGCCAACATATCGTGTGAATTGCTATTTAGGACTTGTTTTGTCTTGGGATCTAACTTGTGGAAACAATCATCCTAAATCGAATCTTCAAACGAATCACCCACATAAGGTGAGTTCATAGAACACAATAGAATTGTGTTAAATCTTACATATGAAAACAAACAAACAAACAAATTCTTATGCTTATAAATATTGCTAAAAAATCACTTTTAAACTCTTTTAAACTATTTTAGATTTCTACTTATCAAAATCATATTCATTTGTATATTTATGTATAATCATGTTTTAACGGACTTAGGACTATTGCTAATACCTTAACTCTTGTTCCTTGTTTAGTTGTGGGCTTAGGGTAGGATCACCGGTCCGATTGTCGGTTAAATCATAATTATACATACTAAATATATACATGAATATTAAATCTCATTTTCAAGAACATACTTAATTCGTTTACATATGCTGGGCAAATGATCTTTTTCTCCAATCATTTAGAGTTTAAACAAACATACTAGTAAACTATAATAGGTATAGTTTAGAGAATCAATTCATACTATTTTCTAGATCAGAGAAACAATTACAAGAACTAATACATACACATTAATACAATTACAAACAAGTTTACAAACATGTTAAGACACAACAATTTTCATAACAAAACAGAAACAGACTTACAATTCATAACTGTGACAACTCGAAACTTCTACCTGGAACATCTAGTCAATTTAATCAATGTTAAACTCATTTTTGTTAACTTCTAGCACTGTTTAAGGGTTCATTTAAGCGTTCTAAGCTTGGGTATAGTCAAGGTTGAGACTAGGAATGAGTCAGCAAGGCGTATAGTAGCAAAACCGGGCCATACACCCCTTTTGGAGGAGTGTGCGGCCGCACACATGGGTGTACGGCCGTATACACCCCTCATGGCCACACACCCACTCCTATATAAAGGGTAGACCCCTTTCCCTTCATTCCTTTCACTCCTTGGCCGCACACTGCACCATTCTCTTAAGCTTCTTCAACCGTGAACCCTCCAAAGCTTCAAGAAACATGAGTAATTCATCCTCTAACTTGCAAACCATGAGAGACCACTCTATCTAAGCCTTGATACTACAAGATTCGTCATGTTCTTCATGTTTTGAAGAGAGTACGACCATACACCTTCATAAGGTAGGTCGTACACTCCTTAGAGGCTCTCCAAAGTGAGAGTTTGACCCCTATCTTCGAGTTGGACATGAACCCAGCCTTGTTGCACCTTAAAGTTGACATATTGAGAATGAACATGAGGAGTGTACGGCCGCACACCCCTATGTACGGCCGCACACACACCCTAGGGCCGCAAACCCACCTCCATGGCCCTTATTGACCTCAAACTTGCACCACAACTAAGCATGGACCTAGAACACTTCATGGATGCAAGTATGAACCTTGAAAACACCTCAAAGACACCTTCCATCATGAGTGTACGGCCGCACACCTCATGGGCCGCACACCCATGACCGCACACACCTTCAAGGTGGCCGTACACCTCCCTCGCTCAATCCTTTAAGGTTCTAACACTTAGTTCGAGTGTTTCCAAGTCCCTAGAGTGGTTTCCTAGCATATCCAGTAGTGTAATACCTTCATTTGACTCCTATATGTGTCATTACATGTTAATTAGGATCAAATTGTGTTCGAGGCTTCACTTGACACTCAACATCTCATACCGATATTTCATACAAACCACTCGCTTACCCCTACATTTTCCGAGTTTTTAATGTTTTCAGGGGGGAATACAAGCCAAACATAACTGATTTTATGAAAGTTACACAAACGGATTTCAGTAAACTTAAAACGGACGAAATCAGTACGAACACACAGTTTCTACAGTTTTACAAAATATTTTAGATATTTTATCCCTTCTGTATTATGATGAGCATAAGGGACGTTTTCAACATACGAACTTAACCACATAGATTTCAGAACAATACACGATTTACACTTACAAACATACAAACTATAATAGGTATAGTTTGGGAATTCATACAAGGTTATACATATACATACACACAAACTATAATAGGTATAGTTTGGGAATTCATACCACAGTTTACAAACTCACACTTTACAAACCTTTCAGTTATTTACAAAAAGGGTTTTCAGCATTATTACTTGTAAATTTGTTAGTCTAGTTGGAGACACGTCCTTGGTAACACTCACAAACTTAACTGGGTGAAGGACTAGTACTTGTGATCAGAATCTCTTGTAGGGAGAGCGTGACTGTTGTGTATAGATCTGTACGAGGCTGACTATCCCGCACCTTGCTGCTAGCTACAGTAGGACCGGCAGGTCTACGGGTGACAAAGTCATAAAAGATACTGGTGCCCGATTCGCGCCATATCAAGTCAAAGTATGGTCATGACACTCACAATGTAGATAACCTC